ATTCTGCCTACTAGTGGGTGATGTGGTGTGTTTGGAATGACTAGCAATAAGCTACTTCTCAAAGGATTTAGCTGCCAGTATTTTCTGTATGTGGGGAGGGGTTGCAGCAAAGGGGAAATGCAAAGCTGCCATTGTTATATTAATAAAAAATAAGCTTATACCTAAAGCTGGGACAAGTTCATCTCAAATCCTGGAATGTTATAATTCCCAGAATCCACAAGCTAGGATTTCTATTGGCTTTGCTGACTGTGGATTCTGGTAGTTGTAGCCCAACAAGGAACCTTTTCCGACTCCCAAGTTCGGATAGAAAGGCAAATGCTTCCTTTTTGTGTTAATTGCAGTTGTTTTTTTTAAACGTTGGTTTCTGAGTCACATGTGGCTAGTATACAATGGGTTGATGGGGAGGCATGACATTCTGATACCCATCCGAATATACACATGTATACAAAATGGTTCAAACAGTGAAGGCTACAGAAACTGTCATGTGTTCATAGTTCTTGAATACACTGACATCATCAATGCTGTCACATTCCCAATACAATCAAAGCAAAGCCAACTGAAAGTCAACTAAACAAGATGTACCAATAGTGCTTTCTGGAGCAATGAAATACATTTGTTTGTTGTTGTGCAAGCTTGTCCCATTTCTTCATTTTGCAAATTAGCTTGTTTTGTTTGGTGATTGATCATCAGGAGATAAGCATGAGCTTCATTTGCAAGTCTGGTTACTTATCTGAGTTATAATCTTTTAACTAGCGGGTCAGGATCTCATGAAGTTTGGCTTTGAGTATTCCAACCACTGTTGAACATGGTGATTAATAGTTTCATTAAAATGTGTAACAGTTTTGTTTCCAGAAAAGAAAAGAAAAATAAAAAAAAGTTAATCAAAGGAAGACTTGGATGGCCAGAAACTATTTCATCACAAAAACTGGCCCCTGCTGCATCCTGCCCACCCAACCCAGTTGTTATCTTTAAAATCACTCTAAATTACTGGGGTAAACTTTTGGCACTGAGAGGAACCGATCAGATTCCTCTACCAAGGTTTAAGGTCACTATTCAGCAGATCTAGGACCATAATAAATTAGAACAGGTGAGCTTCTCTCAGTTTTAGATTTCATCACAAGCATTTCACACAATCTTACCATTGCTTCAAGAGGAATCTCTGAGGACTAATATGTCAGCAGCCTGAAGCTGTGAATATTTTTAATCTTGGCAGTCTATGGCACTTCTGCTGGGAAAAGAAAGGTTGTGTAGGTAAGAAGGTTATAACGAGTTGTATTATATAAAATAAGCCTGTCATTTGATCATGTTAGGTTTGTTCTACAGTTTCTAGATAGTACCTCCTTTTCCTCAAACAGCTTGCTTCACTCTTGCATCAATTTGGAAATATATATTTATTAGATTTTTAAAAAATCAAAATGGAGTTTCCCCCCTTTAACCTTCAAAATTCCAATATTTAAAGTGTCCCTGCTATTTACTAGCTTGATATTATAAATGAGTTCAAGTACATTGGACATGGGACATTTAGAAAATCATACAGAATCTCAATGTTTGGTCTTATAGAATGAGACAGGCACCTCATTTTGATACCTGGGGGGAAATGTGTGCCTCTGTGTGATTTGCTTTCAAGTAAACATGTTTTGACTCAAACTGTTAGACATACCAGCTTCTCGGGTATAATCAGTATTCTAGTTTGAGCATTCTGGCTGGCTGTAGACAGAAATCAGCACTTTGTCTGTCAACTTGCACATGAGAGGATGTAGTGAAAAGTAGTCAGTCAGTCTGTTGACTGTTTCCCACCCCCAGATCGGCTGCTGATCTATTTTAGTGGAGGCACTATCATGTGTCTCCATGGATTTCACAGGCTGTTTTGATATCCAGGATGTCCCTGGAGGAAGCATACACCTGTGCCAGCATTCTGTGCCTGGGTCAAGAGTTCTGATAATGATGAGCAAAGGGTATTGTACTCATATGTGGAACTTTGTCATTGAATATCAGACCCACATCCTCTAATTTATATGGTTGAACAGCATAGCTTAGGATGACATTGGTGTCCCTTTGGCTTTTGCAGGCACCATAGTATTCTTGTTTTTAAAAATAAATAACTAGCAGGAGGAGCAGCATGCCAGAAGCGAACCGCCCAAGCCCTCCCTTCCACTACAGTCGTGCTCCAACTGGAGTGGGAAGGCAACTGCTATTTATCTATTTAAAGATCCATCATGCAAGCCCTGAAGACACAAATCTATGACACATCTATGCTGACAGACTAAGTTGCTGTGTATGTTTGGGTTGTAGTGGTTCTCTCATTTTTGCTTTTGGAGCATTTTGTTAAACTTTCTTCACATGAAGAATATGAAAAGAGCAGGTACACTGTTTTGGTCTGTTGATTTCTCACCCAGTGCTTCAGAAGCTGACGAAGGACAGGCAGTTCCAATGCAGCAACTGCCTGGTGGAGTAGAGCAGACTTCAGCAATGCAATGTGTTTAGCATTACCTGCTCATCCAAGCAATGATTTTGACAGATGAATAGAATGGTCACAAAAATGCCCTCATTTTCATCTGTAAAATGTTGGAGGGTGAGCTCCCACTTCTCATATACCTAAACATGCCAATTTTCCACCATATCAGTCTCTCTTCCCTAAATTCTAGATGCACAATAAAGCTGTAAATTATAAAATTCTCCTATTTTATTTTATGTTCAGCAAATATACAACAATGCATATATTTTACTATTTATTGTCATGGTGGAGTTGAATGCTTTTGGCACAGAATTTGAATTTGTACCACAGTGAGAGAGAAATCCAAGAGCATAAGGTTTCAGTTCCAATCTTGAAATAATATTTTTCACATTATGCATTTCTGCCAAGAAGAATAACCACATTTCAGAGATGATCTTTAGAATAGAAAGAGGTTAAATAATGACTGTGAGCAGGCCTTCCAGTCACTGCTGAATTGCTGGTAATTTGTGTTGTTAACTTAATCTTTTAAAGCTTTAAGGGGGGAAACCAACTGGAATTTGGTTTTGCAACCTCTGTGTCTTCATCCAGATCTAATTCTCATGCTGTACATCTGACTTCTGCCTGCAGCCAGGAGGTGAAGCATGGCAATCTTATCTAAATCGGAAGAATAAAAATAAAAGGCCAAACTGGAATGAAACCTGACAATTACAACTTAACATATTTAATCTTGAAAAAGTGTTACCTATCTGATAAATGTGTAGTTTACAGTTTTGTTCTGTTTTTCTAAAGGTCGAGTTCTTAGAAGTTTCTGTCTCCAAAAATACTAAAATTGTTACAATAAATAGTGTGTTGTCACATCACTAAGGAATGTTAATTCTTCCTTAAAAGGCACTCAATTCTCTTTACCAGTTACTTCATCTTTGCAGTGTCACAAGCATTAAGTAGTAATAGTGTAATATGATTACAGTTCACTTACCTAGTCTTTAAAATTCTCATTTTATTCCTAGAATACAGTACTTAGAAACACCTGTAAATAGCCATATAAATAAAAAGTAATGTGACTTCATGTATGTTATTTAAGCAAAATAGCTGGGAGGGTCTGATTCCCTCTATGTTACCCACCGTATTTGCCATTAGTTCTTATAGCAATCAAGGAACATGTAGCTTAATTTCCTGTTCCCCCCCATAAGTTAATAAGAAGTTCATCTGTTCAATGTAAGTTTTTTTTCCATACTTCAGTAATCTATTTGCACTTGCTTTATGCTTAGCATGACACATGTTTCTTTTTTGTGGTCTCTGTGAACACATACTGAGGCGTTTTCTTGGTCTGTGCAGAATGTTTCAGAAACTTGTAGAGCTGAGCAGTATCATTTTGGTGCAAGCTCAGCCCATTCAAGGCTCGTTTACATTAAAGTAATGGTTTGGAATATGTGCCAGTGTAAGTGAAATCAAGTTAAGTTGATTCCAAATCACATGGCAGCCTTGTGGTGTTTGAATCTCAACACATACAACAAACATTTAATCCAGTGTTTTTGAAGAAACACCTTTGCCAGACATGTGCGCTCTCTCTTTCTCTCTCTCCCCAGTTCCAGGGTTTGTGCACCACCTTGGTGAAGAGACACCTCTTTGGGTTGATCTTGCCTTATCCATCCCTCTGGGATGGAAGAAGATTTGGGTGAGCAAAGAAGTGGTAGGGGGCTCCTGCAGGCTGCTTGGCAACTGGGCTTCTCCCCCACACTTCACTTTTAACACAATAACAGCAGGGAAAAGTGGCTGTTAGAATCAGCCAGCATGAGGGCTACTTGAAAATTAATGTGGACAGAGGTGTTCATATAAGGGGGATCAGTTTAAATAAATCAATTCCACATCCATGTCTTGTGTTCACCCATTTTTATGGCAATTCAAAACAGGACAAACCTGATTTAAGCAGGGTTTGTTTTGTTTTGTTTTTTAGTAATGTAACTGCCTTCTCAGCTGAGCATGCCAAGCTTTCCTCCCACGAATTGCCTCAGTTGTTTTTTTTGTCAACCATTGTAGCAGGTGTGTCCTGGAACTCTCTTGTATTCTTTCACTGTCCTTTACTAAGTGCTTCTTTTGCAGTTTCTAATCCTTTTTTTTAAAGTTCATTTCTTCTTCTGACGCTCCTCTCCCTTTAGTGCACATTTCTGTGGCTCTTCACTGTTCTTGTATATGTTGTTGCTAACTTAAGCACAGAAATACTGTAGCCTGCAAATAGGTCCTGTTTATTTTTATATTTTGTACAATGCCGTTTCATTTTAGGCACTTTCTCCATATGTTAACAAATAAAAGAAACTACTGTTGTGTCTACGTCCTGGGTAACAAATTGTTCTTCAAACTAAGGAAATGCAATATTTATTTACTATTCACCAAAAGAAAGGTTCAGCTATACAGAGTATTTCGCACAAATGCCACCTGCATTTTACTGGTTACTTTTGAAATATGGAAAGAATCAGTGAATACAGCAATACAATCCTATCCCCCTTTAAAAATATCTCTCTTCTTCTTTTTCCCTCCCCCATTTCAGCACATCATTTTATTGTTGTCACAGCATGCCATGAAGCCACCTATGGGCAACTCATGCAGGAATTTTGCCACAGCAAGTTTAAGTCTGACATGGAAACTCTCAGGAAGACACTTTGGTGTGACTGGGAGAAGACTCTGGGGTGAGTGTAAACGAATAAACCTTATTTTATCCAATGGGATTAGATGCGTTATGGAAATGACACACTAGATTCCAGGAATTCAGGGCACCCTGCAATCCACAGTACGCCTGTACCAACATCAAGAGACTTCTACCATTTGGTGTTCTTAATACATCCGTGGTAAGTACTAGAGGAGAGCTTAATTGAGCCTGGCTCTGGATGGTTGTATGGAACAAAACTTCCCCACCTTTTACCAAGGCCGTATCATTCATAAGGCTGACTAGGCTGACGCCTAGGAGGCTCTGCAGGGACTAGGGCCCTGTCACATTTTTTTTTCCTGAGACACCCTATGTCTGTCACCTGTAGTGGGGTGAAAGATGGAAGTGCAGGAGGGTGCCTGAAATACCTGAAATACCTGAACCACTGCCTTTTACTTTATGTTGCATCATCATATAAAACTTTTCAAGCCATCATATATATGAACATGCCGTTTCAGCATAGCCTATGACTGATGGGAGTCAAAGTCATATGGGAAGAGATATTAAAAATGCAACTATGCTCACAGATAAACCTAGTGGACTCTTCATGGTGCATTTAACTACAATAGGGCTCCACTGATGAAAAGGTAACACCACATAGTGTTGGGGAGAATTTGGTAGATTGCAATCATCTTCCCATTAGTATCAATAAGTATTTTCATGTTAAGAGATTGCATCTGACATTTTATACCTGATGTATTTTAGGACAGTGGTTCTTAACCTTGAGTTACTCAGGTGTTTTTGAACTGCAACTCCCAGAAACCCCAGCTAGCACAGTTGGTGGTGAAGGCTTCTGGGAGTTGCAGTCCAAAAACACTTGAGTAACCCAAGGTTAAGAACCAGTGTTTTAGGAAACAAAGAGAAGGTTTCATCACTGTGATTTTTGCTATCTCCTTTGTCTGTGTGTAATTGGTTCATCAATTTCATGCCTCCTGCAGTGAAGCCCCATCCCCATAGACTCTACCTCTTATGGTGCACCATTGATCCTACAGGCTACACATCAGGAACCACTGGCTTAAAGGCTGTCAAGGGCCCAATACATGACATGAAAAGCTTCATAATGCCCTTTAGCACTGACTCTCACCTCTTTCCTGCTACCTCTGCTCTTTAATCTTGCCGATCTTGCAAGATTTGACAGAGTAAAATGGGAAGGCTCATTTTTAGAAATAAACTCAAGACATGGCTATTTAGGCAGGCTTTCCCTCCTGCTGTATCTTAATATTTACATTTTCACATCTTGGATTTTTGCATGTTTATTGGTTCTATTGTTTTAAATTTTGTAATGCCAGAGTAGACCATTGGTCTAGATGGTTGGGGTATAAATCAAATCAAATCAAATCAAATCAAATCAAATCAAATCAAATCAAATCAAATCAAATCAAATCAAATCAAATAAATAAATAAATAAATAAATAAATAAATTTTGTGTATTTATGTGTATAACATTACAGTGATTTATTCTGGTCTATTCATGTGTCAAAAAAGGAATTTTTAAATGATTATTAATTTTTCATTATGTAAATATCTCTACAGCTGCTTTTTAACCTGCTTTTGAGTCTACATGTAACAGATAGTCAGCTTGAACATGTAAATGAAAATCTGAGACTTCTGACACCATTTTAAAAAAGATGTTAGTAGAATTTATTTTTATTACGTTTGTGCTGAATCTGAATGCCAGCCTTCTTCTCCCAGAAAGCCATGCATACAGAAAAATATCTATAATTGCCATTTAGTCACATACTTTATGTCTGCTGCTGGGGTAACTGCATGAGAAGAGCCCAGTAGGGTCGGACTAACGGGCTGTGTTAGCTTTCAGAAACCAAGAATCAAGACCTTAAAATAATAGTAATAAAATAATAGTGGGTATCTAGAGACATCTTGCTTCTTATCCTGGAGGTAGTCTACAGCTGTTGTGAACAGTAGCTCTCTGTAAATTTGTCTAAAAAAATTGTCTCTTTGGAATTACTGAAATTCATGGCCATCACCAATCCTGTGGTAACAGGTTCCATAGTTTAATCATGCACTATGTGAAGAAGCACAGAACATGATTAAACTGTTTGCCCTACAACCACTGCCCTTATCTCATAGTCCCTTGTTCTTCTTCCCAGTGCTGTATACGCACTGCAGGTTGTTATCAAATTTGATGAGGAAACAGTGCATTAATTTGTTGAATAGGCTGGCTTCAAGTTTTTTCCTCTAATTTTTGTATAAGATGTTTACCTTCCCTATTTTCAGTGTCCTCAGTTTTCACAATATGCTTACTTTATCATGCTTGATCCATTATGGTGACTGTGGCATTGTTGGGATACTTTAAAACATTAAGGCACTGAATACTAAAATGTTGATGAAATCCATTTTTCTGAATTTTATATTTTGTATCTTGTTATCCAGAAGCTGGATTAGATCCAGTATGGTTGTACAGTATATAAATTGCATTGTATTCGTGAAGGCTTTCACGGCCGGGATCTAATGGTTGTTGTGGGCTTTTCGGACTCTATGGCCATGTTATGAAGGTTGTTCTTCCTAACGTTTCGCCAGTCTCTGTGGCCGGCATCTTCAGAGGATAGGAGTAGCACTCTGTGCTCTGGCGCAGTTTGTTTGGGAGTTGAGTATTTATAGTTGTGGAATCAGCTTTTGTCCTTTTCAGGAGATGGGTGATTATAGTAATCAGTGTGTTTTTGTTGTGGGTTTATTGTATCACAACAAGACACCCACAACAAAAACACACTGATCACCATAATTTAATTATTATTTATTTAATAAATTATTTTTAATGGATCTAAATTGTAAAGGCACTTACAAGCCATTGTAATCAATTATTGAGAAAACCCAAAAAGCTAGATACAAAATAGTCAATGCACCTGAGAAAAATATCTATACATTTTAATGGTTTAAAATACTGCTTTCTAAATCTGAAAAAAAAAATTCCAATTCTGCTAACAAAAGAATCTATGAGACATCAAATTTCACTCAATTTTCATCAATAAGAGTAGGTATTTAAAAGTGTTTTGCCTGAAACATCTGCTGAGATTCTTAATACTCTTAGAATTGCAGAGCTAGAATGGACTTGTAGATCATTGAATCCAGCCCCTCTCTAGGAGGCATTATGGGGGGAATCAAACTCCACATCTAAACTACTAAGCTTTCTAGCAGTGCTAGATTTTCACTAAGTAGAATTTCTTCTATGGTCATAACAATGGTGGGGCTTTCCAAGCTGTAGATTAAGAAATTCAATGTCTGTACTTTCTGACTATTTTAAAAGTTATAATTGTGCCTGGCAAACATTCTTTGGACAGATGAGCATCATTTAAAAACAAATAATACAAACTATGCTGACAGTTGTCCAAGTAATAGTGAAAGCCCTGGTCCTCTACGCTTTCCTTAAGGCAACCTGTCCAGACAGGCAGCTGCCTTGGTGTGGCTACCAATCCAGCGTTGAACAATTCCTCAGAAACATTATGAGTACACAGCATTCACTGCAGTGAGCATATGGAGTGGACATCTCCCTAAAAGCATGGTGGGCATACATTATGCTGTTTCCCCAGTTGGCTAGCCTAGTTGATTAAACCGTGGTGTCAAGGCCCTGGGTTGAAGATCTGTGCTGCTGACTATTGTGAGGTGAGTGAGGGCTTCAGTACTCCCACAGGGGCAGGCTCAGTAGTGAGAAAGAAAGTCCTAGGTTCAAATCTTCACTAACAAGGACCTCTGATGGGTACCCTGGAAATAATGACCATTCTAGGAGTTGTAGTTTGGTAAAATAACTTTTCTGAGTTCTGCCCAGTTAACACAGTCAGCTGCCAGAACTTGAGATTCTTTGCTTAGGCCTAAGATGCAGTGTTAAACAATATGTTATCCAACTGGGGACCCAACTCAAAATAATGTAACTAGAGCCATAAAGAAATCTGGCAAAGATATGGCGCTTGTGGCCTGACTGTGAGATGTTCACATGATTGGGCCAGTTTCAGTGCAGCTCAGCTTCCAGCCGTGATGGGATGGAAGAGGATGTGTCTGATCCTGCAGAGACCCTGATGGGTGTGGCTTGCTTTCAAGAACAAGCAGTCCAATAAAGAGTATTTCCTGTAATTGCAGGTATAAGTTGGCATGTGCGGCTGGATCTCCTGAGTAAGCTAGCAGGCTGGTAGGATTGTGCCTGCACGTTCAGTCTCGCAGTGAAAGAGTGGAATTCTGTTTCATGTTTCACTGTGAAGCTTTGCTCTCCATGTTGAGGATAAGATTTGGGAATCTTGTCAAAATTTTAAGAAAGTGATAAGATTCATTCCAGGCCTGTCAGGGGCAGGAAAAGTAGAACAAAAAGATGGCCCTGTGGTCTTTCACTCTTGTGTACTGAGCTGGTTGTTTAACAGCAGAAACCTGTTTTAACATGCAAGTGAAACAGAGATGACATCTTGTGGTGTGACACCTGAGGCTAGAGATTGTCTCGCCAGTGTATGATCTTATAAGTACAGCACTGAAGTGTGAAATGCACAGTGACAAGCCTTTCCTTGTATCATGGCTGATTACAACTTGTTCTGCCTAAAGGAAGGAAGGGACGGTATGATTTTGTATTTTTTGTGTGTCACTTGTTTTTGTTGTGGTATTTTCAGCTTCACTGAAGCCGAAAAATCCAAGTAAACACAAATGGTTGGAATCTAGCACTATTATTTTAATTGTTACCAATTTTGTGTCCTGCCCTCCTTCTAATGAATGAGAACAGTAGACATGGGACTTCATGGCAGTGTCAAGAGTGCCTCAGTGTTCAATAAATATTTGTGAAGTGTGGGTCCTAGACTTTTAGTTAAGGCTCCCTTATGAAGTGCAGGATCATTGGAAGTCCTTTTACTGTCAACAGCATGGCAAGTCAACAGTAATCTGTGCAACAGTTGCAGCCTCTCTATGGCATATTCTTGGCATCGTCTTCCTCATCAACTGCTTGAGTAGCGCCAGAGAGTTCCCATGGTGCAGAGAGACCATTGAGTTCTTCAA